GGCCGAGCCAGCGCCCGACTGCACGGTTCAGCGGACCGGCAGTCCGGTCCAGACCGGTTCAGACTGGCTGGACCGGTTCAGTCAGTACTTATCAGTTTCAGTCCCGGTTCTCAATTTCAGTATCATTTTCAGTTAAAATTCCGGGTTCAGTTCAGTCCAGTTCAGTTCAGTTAATTAATATCAGTTCAGTTTCGTACTTAGCCGGTTTCAGTTATACCGATTAAGTCCGAATATCATGTCAGGTTCAATAGAGCATCTTAACATAATTAATCAATTAAATTAGTAGTCTGAGCATAGTCAGTAGTAATTGTTTATATTATTTTCAGTTTGATCAGGCATCAGCACTACCTTCAGTTTCAGTTTCAGCAGTTCAGGTGGGGACTCAGACTAAGTACTACCTTGATTATAATATCGCTACCATGTTTGAGGTATGTATATTCAGTATCCGCTCGGAATGGTCGCCGGTCCATTCTGGGTTCTAGTGGCCTAATCTAACCACTAGAGTGTGCACATGGTCCGGTATTAGTTTGTGCTGGCAGATTTCGGTATTAGTTTGTGCCGACAAATATTCAATTATCAGTTACGTGACTTATGTCGTGAGATCAGACCGGTATCAGATATCAGTTTCAGTTTCAGTTTCAGTTCAGTTATATATGCTGAGATCATGATATTGTTATTATTTTCGATGTTTACATTAGTATGAGTTTCTGCGGAGCACAAGTGTTTTAGTGCTCACGCCCCCACGCATTTCATGTTTTTCAGGTCGCAGGGTCGGGGACGAGGAGTGAGCTGGCGGGCAGTTCAGGATATTTTTGTGGATATGTATATATATGTTTTTGCCACGCAGTTATTTCCGCTAAAACTATCAGTACTTAATTTTAGCTTTTGTTCCGACGTTAGTCGGTTAAGACATTATAACCGTTTTTATTTATCAGTTTAAAATTTTAACGATTTTCAGAAAAATCAAGTTTTTCACGGTAGCATCCCGAATCAGTTTTCGCAAAATAAATATTTTATTTATTCAGAAAATTGCAAAAAACGCTTACTCTGATAGTATTAAAAAGTCGGGGTGTTACAATTGGTATCAGAGCACGTTTCTGTGTCTCTGAAAAGTTTTCAGTCAGAAATTTTCAGAAAAACCTGAACCGTCACGCTCACGCCTCGCCGACTCCAGGTAAGTGCAGATTTAGTTTTCAGTTATAAACATATTACTCTGTCTATGCTCAGAAATCAGTAATCAAACTTAGTTAAGATGCTCGAATCAGATTCAGACTTTAGAGTTCAGATATAACTCTAGAATTCAGTATATTCAGACATGACTTTAGAGATCAATATACTCAGACATGACTCTAGAATCTAGTATCTTTTGATATAACTCTAGAGTTCCTCAGGTTTCACGTCAGTATTTATCGGCCATTTTTGGCAACTCG